CGAGCGCGCCTGGCGGCGCTCTCTTACCTGCAGCGCGTCGCGTCGCTCCGACAGGGCGGCGCGCGAGGGCCGATGCCGCCGCGCGTCGACCGCGCAGAGTCGTTGCTCCGCTTGAGCCAGCCACGAGAGCAACGAACGCAGCGACTCGTGAAAGTCCTGAGGCGCAACCGAAGCAAATGACATTCGCTTGCTTACCAAAGAAAAAAAACGCGCGCCGAGGCTCCAAAGCGAGAGGAAGAATCACCTGACACTGCGTGAGCGCGGCGTGAAGCCCCGCCTCCCAGCGCTCCAGCGCCCCGCACGCTCGCATCCAGCTGCGATTGGCCGAGCCGAGCCCCGCCTTCAGCTCCCGCGGCCGCCGGCCGTCCGAGCCGCCGCCGGCCAGGTTGAGCGAGATCAGGGCGCGCTTGCGGACGCAGAACGCCCTCTGCGTCTCCTGCCGCGCAAAACAAAGCCACCGAGCGCGGGACTCAACGCGGCTCCTTCGCTCGAAAGACAAGCAATAAAAAAAAAAAAACCAGGAAGATGCTCCTCCAACGGGAAGGCTCTGGTTTCACGCGACGCAAGAAGACTGAAAGCGGCGGACGTGGAGATCAAGCGCAAAAGCCAAAGACTGGCATCGGCCGAGCGACGCGACCGACTGGATGCGCGCATTGAGGCGACGCCGGCGTGTCGGAAATCCCAAGACGAGAGCAAGTCAGACGCCCGCGCGTACCTTCAGCGTCCTGACGTTGTCTTCAAAATCTTTGAGGCCAGCGGCCGGCGGGAGCTTCCGCAGCGCCTCCAGCTCGGGGAGCTTGGCGTCCAGCCAGGAAGTGACACCGCGCAGGTCGGCCTGGAGCTTGCGCCACCGCTGCGGGTCCTCGTCGCGGTGGTCCTCCCCGCGGTCGTCCCGGCGGACCTCCTGGTGGACCTCCCGGGCCTGCACCACCTCCCAGCGCTCCATCACGCCTACACGCAACGAGCAAGAGAGTCCGTCGCGTCGCTCGTCGGGCATTTTGAAGCCGGCGCAACGGGACGCCGGTCGGGATCCAGGAACGGTCGCGAACGCGGCGGTCAGCGGTCAAAGGCCAAACGGTTTGGGAAGTCATTGATCATGCGGCACAGTTCCAACGCCGGTCGATTAAAATGGCGAAGCAAATCCGCCAACGGTCAAAGTCCTCCTCTTGGTCTGTCTGCAGCCAAGGGCGCCACCGGCAATTCCTGGTCACGCACGCACGCGGCCTGTTTCGTCCGACTCAATTCCGTTTTTTGAAGGCGCGCCGTTGCTTTTCAAAATGGCCCGAGAGGAAAAATGCCATTTCCGTTGATTGCGAGGCGCGATTCAAAATGCCTGGTGCGAAATGACGAGCGCCGCTCGCTCTCGGCGGCGGCTGACTTTGGCCGCAGACGCGCGGCCGAGGGTCGGCTTTCCGGTCGTCGCCGAGGACGGACTTGACCCGCTTGACGTCGTCGATGCTTCCGCTGCACTCGGACATCAGCTTGACCTGACGGCGCGAGCGCACCATCAGCAGACGCCGCGCGCGCGACGTCGGCGTCTCGCGGGCGAATCGCTTGCTTACGTAGGCCCGCTGGTCAAAGGCGGCGCTGCAGACTTTTGGCCCCGGCGCCGTCCTCGGCGGGGAGACGGGACGGCG